GAGTCATTCTTTTTTTTTAAGACTAAAATTTGGTGTACTAACAGTCACTGAAAATCTGGGGAAATGCATGAGAAGATCATGCCACCAGTTTGGAGTGGAGACCATCTATGTCATGTATATATATCTCAGCATAATTCTTCGATTCAAATGTATCGAAGCAATAGTGAAGAACAGAATTTCTATCTCAAAGGTGGAGTGAACATGTAGGTATTTGAGGTCAGTGACTGAGGTACAAAGAGAAAATTACATACTAGTGAATGCAACAATCTATACAGCATACCTGATACAAGATTGGATGCACTTACTAAACTTGTGAGACCTTCTTCTGGAATAGCCCTGGTTAGGCAACTGGTAAAAGCACTTCTTTTTTTTTCTTTCCTCTCTCTTTTAGATAGAATAACTTGAGATTTAATGTGATGAGAAAGAAGTAGGTTTAAAATCTGTAACGAAAGTAACTTGTTAAAAAAAGCTACCAATCAGTCTGGTTTTCAGGAATGCTGACAGCCTCCAGCATTCATTTGATATCCCTCATTTTTACAAGTGATCAAACCCTGTCTTAAGCAACATGCCCAAGAGCTGGTTCAGTCTAAAGCAACAACCTCACTTCCCCATTTTTCCTTTCTCCATAGCTTTTTCTGGGAAATTTGGAAACCCAGTACAACAGCTTGCACCTCACAGAACCCACCACACTAACCTAAACAACAGGAATGTCATGGATCACATCTAGCAGATGTGCCAAGTACAAACAATGACTAAATTGACCAAGTCAATTAGATGTTGTGAATTATTTATTCAGCTTTAATGATGCTATATATCCACATTTGAATCCTTCTCTAAGGTACCTAAACTGTGTGAGGTAGCATCTCTCTTCCTGCTGCGTGCTTTTTGTCCATATATCAAAACACAACCTTGACAATCTGACTTCAGAGTAACAGAACAGAAAGTTACATGGTTCTTGCTGAAGAGAATTCTTACTGAAGAAAGTTAAGAGTAAATATAAAGTAAATTTCTGTTAAATCTAGCCAGGGGAAAAAAAAAATTAAAAGAAAATTTACCCTGTGACCAGTAAAATGTCATCTGATTAAAAGGCCTGTCATCCAGCACAGAAGATAAGTAACCATGAGGTGAGCTTTTTGGCAAGAAAATCCATGAGCTGTTCAGGGCTTTTTAGCTAGATATATATTTACAGAAACTTCTTAATGCATCTTTTGTCATGAAGTCAGAGCCTGCTTTGTTCTGAAGGGCATTTGTCTGAGGAGCCATGGTACGTTACCCCAGTTCTGCAGCAGTAGTGGTACAGAGGGGCAGAGTTCCAGGTTACATGGTGTGTGCACACTGTACACATTTCTTCACCAAAAAACAATGTCTTTAACATCTCTGGTATTTGCAGAAGAAGCTATAGCAATGCTCTTTCCCACTGCCCATCCCTTTGGATGCGAGGCCTTCTAGACACTAGAGAAACTTCGTAACAGCTTTCAACTAAGCCTGGTTCTGAGAGAACCAGTATTCTAGAAAGGACCTATCCCACTTTACTGCCCTGCAGAATAAATACAGGAAGGGGAAGGTCTGGGAACTGCGTATCCAGCAACCCCTGCAATCCAACCCAAAAACCATAAAACAGTTCAGCAAAGACTGCCTAATCACTTTGCACAGCTTACTAGCCCTCCAGCTCTAACCTGGAATATGTAAGTATATACTTACAACATGCTGTTCTTTCTAAAACTAAGTCAGTTTTTACATGCAACAGACTCGCAAGGAACTGCCTACCAAGCATGTTGGACCATTCTTGTACTGTACTTGTTCACAGGCACAGCAAATTGCGTTCTTAGATGCCATCCTATTGGATAAATTCTACTTTAGTGAAAAACTTGAAAGTAAACTTCTTACAGATATGCAGAAAGTACAGCGATTCTAAAGCAAGTCAAAAGTGTTGCTTTCCACTGTGTGTTATGTCCCATTCCCATAGCTATTGGTCATAACAGGATGCGTGACTTGAGATAGCGTTACCGTTAAAAGTATGCTTATGAGGCGTTCCATCAGTTTTATATGCATCTAAGGCTACCAGCAGCCTTGAGAACATTTGTGCTTCTCCCAGGAATTGCTTCAATTTGTGCTGCAAAACCCATCAAGTTTTCAGTCAAACTTGCTAGTGATGTTACGTTCAGCCTGTTTTTATAAAATAGTTGACCTGGATATTTATTTGTCCTCGTGAGACTCCTGCTGCCATTGAGCTGCCTCTCATTAGCATTGATCTTAATCCTGATTCTGTTCAGATGGGCAGAATTCCTCTTTAACTTGTTTCAGCCTATAGAATTGTGGTTTATGTATCATGATTAAAGACCGAACCCTAGGCCATCAATTTTTTGCCTTTGAATTGGAAAGTAGAGGTCTTACCTAGGCTGGGGAAAGGGAAGCAGACAGGCAACTTGCCTTTCACTTAGCCTGAAGTGCAGTATTGCGATCAACCATTTTGCTGAGCAAGTGGTAAACGTGACTGTCAGTTTTATACAAATTTTACTAAATGATTATAAACACCAGAATTAACTAAAAAGACACCTTTGTCTGCATTTGGCTTTAGGGTTCCAAATGCTAATGATGAACAGACTGCAGAAACCATTTGGGCAAGTAACGGACCTGAACTAGTCTCCCATAACTAGTTAGTTTTCTGACAGGACAGGAAGTAGGACTGCATCTTTCTCTTGCTTCCTTAGGCAAGATCTGAGCTGAGGATGTCTCAGACATCAAAACTGAGAAAAGAACTAACTGATAAATGAAAGATACAGAATTAGTTAACTTAAATGACACCACCACAAGCACCCCCAGCATCAGCTCTAAGTACAAGGAGGTTGATCTCAATTCTGGGTTTAGGCAGAAGAACTTGTGGTAAACTGTAATCCCCAACTCCCGAACCCAGGGAGCTGACCCTGTGTGCCATACAATCCTGAGTCTGTGCAGAGAAAAAAACCCCATAAGAGTTTTCATAAAGAATAGAAAATGTATGATTTGCTACGGGGAAAACAGGGGCAGGGAAAAGGGAGAGAAAACAAAAAGAATAAACAACAAAAAAAAAGCCCTCCCCAAAACTAACCCACAACTGAGGGGTTTTGGCAATGAGACAATATCCATTACCTCAGTGGTTTATACCTGAGGGACCTTATTCAAAGGTCATTGAATTCATTTGGAAAGAAACAAAAAACCCTCACCACAGTAAGGTTTAAAAGGCCAAAGTAACTTAGGGGGTAGGGTGTGTGTTTAGGGTAAGGAACAAATACCATATCATAAAGATTTGACTAATTTCCCATTCTCATTTCTTCATGTTTCTTGTACGCCAAGCAGTTATATTGCTTCTGGATAGCTTAGGGTTCATGCTGCCACCAGACACCCACATTAAACTACCATTATTAATAGGAATGTCAATAATAGTTACACAGCAGTGGGAAAATACAGTTCAGTCAGCATTTTGCTGTAGAGGTCTATTAAAATGCCTGCTATGTGCCTCTCTGTCAAGTAGAGTAATCAGTGAAAAATTGTATCTGGACTGCACATAGGACTACCAGGGAGGATTTATGGGAGCCTCAGGTTTTGAATTTTGAGGATTATACTAGAAATGGTCTGTCTTTTAGCCCAAGCCATATTTAAAACTTAGAGCTTTCAAACCTAAATCTGGATGTCATATGCAAGGTCCAAAATAAAGTTTTTAGAACTCACAGAGAAAGTTTTAAGAACTCTCACTTCCCACACAAAGTACTTACTGAGTATTATGGACAGGAGAAGAGGGAACCCCAGTCAGCAGTCTGAACGTAGTGCAACCTGTTCTGAATGGCACAAGCTACCCTGCTCTGAGGAACAGCCTTCTCTGAAAAAGCAAACTCAGCATTTATATGAGATTTATGCCAATATCCTTGCGATTATAACAGAAATCAATCCAGTTATGACTTTCTGATGCAAGGTGTAACACGGGCTTGAACAAAACTGAGGCGGCAGGTTTTTTGCATGGGGTTGGGTGGTGGTTTTCTTTTTATAGCAACTTTTTTCCCCCACTGTACAAATCAGTAGTTTAAATGCAGCTGCTCCTTCCATACTTTAGCTGCACTAATCTGTACTGGTTTACATCCCATTCTTTGATTTGCAGCTTAAACCAGTAACTCTCTACCACACGAGTGCAAGATACTGTAGAGAAAGTCAGACTTTCAGGCCTCCGTGTGACTTACACTGCTCTCTGTATCCTGGAGGAAACTTCCCAGCCACTAACGTGTACAAGTTACCTATTACCTTTATTAAACAGAAAAGAGGTGAAAGAACCAACTGAAACCAGAATTAAATTTAAAAAAGAAAAAGAAAAGGTAACTTATGTCACCTACGTGATGATTTAATTGTAATTTAGGTCTATATTTCGCTGTGTGATAGCCCCAGTGGTTTAAGATCTGCTGCAACTCAACAGTGAAGGTATGGCACTACTAAGCTGAGAACTGAAGAGTCAATGCTGTTGATTAGCAACATAAGATTATAAAAGACAGTTCATTTCAGAATTCAAAGAATAAACAATTCTTTGCATTTTACCCTACAGACAGGACTCCTCCAGCCAAGGCACTGGTCCTCTCCTGCCTCTTTTTGCTGTTTCAGAGGTGCACTAAGCTAGGTAACTGAAGCAAACAGGAAAGCTTTTGTCTAGTGGTTAAAAAGCACAGCTAGGAATGCAGCTCGATTCTAGAAACCCCGTTTGCTGAAATAGTAACCAGGCAATTGAGGCTATTCTAAAACATGGCAGAGATTGAACCAGCCTGTGACAAAGGGAACCTTCACTCCAGATCCATCCTAGTGCTTATCTTGTCTCTAATGGAAACATTTTTCACAGTAGCAGTGGGCTTCAGTAGATGGACATTGGAATGTTCTCTAATCTACACACAATATATCATACTGCTGTTATACAGCAGCAATGCAACAAGTTCACAATGTTTAATCCAAACAAATTTATTTCTTTTTCCTTACCATCTTTAAAGGGAGGTCCAATCCAGAACAGAAAATCCAAGCGTTGCCTGGAATTGCAGGAAAACAATGAAAATGAATTTGGATTTCAACTCGTCCTTCAGAAATGCACTGGACAACGCTGGTCTATAACAAATGTCCTGAAAAGCTTGTCATCATAGCAGACTAAATTTTGTACCCATTTCTTTTGCTACTGTGTAGCAAATACTGCATTGTTGCCTGCTGTACTGTATTCCTCTTGCCCCTCATCACCCCCCACCCTGGTTTCTTTTCTTCTCTGTCCCTTGGATTTTATTTTGTGCGTGTGTGGAAATTGGGTTTGTGGGCTGAAAATAAGACGTTTTTTATTTCACAATGATGTTTTCATGCCATTTATAGAGACACTGAATGACAGGTGATGGGTAGGCTATCCTACAATATTTTACGACTGTAAATAGGAAACAAATGGAAAATATTTATAACTCAAACTTTTATTGAATAAAAAAGTCCAAACACTGTTACTGTCTCTAGCTGTCTCCATGGAAACCCATTTAGAAGTTAAGTAAGTGGTGTAAGTAAGTGGTGGTTTCACCCAAGCCTGATCTCTCTCAGCAAGTTGTTGCCAAGTATCAGTACTCTCCAGACTTGTGGTAAAGAGTCTTTTACCTGCACACTAGAAGCTGCAGTGAGGGTGGATTTTCTCCTTTCTCCCTTCAGGGAGACCTGTCTAGGTCACTCTAGCTACTGCTCTGCAAATACGGGTGGAGACGTGGTGTGGTGTGTGCAGGTGTATAATGGGTCCACACACATAAATTTCCACACCTGTATTACTAAATAAAGCCACAGAGAAAACCCCAGGGCTCAAGTGAAACAGAGAAGAGAATTAATTAATATATACATATATATATTAAAAAAAAAAGGCAGCTACAAGAGCAAAGCAGCACCTATTGGAAGAAAAATAAACTAAACTCCCTGACATTTCTCAATGGGTTTGCCTCCATTCAGTGACTGCACTTTTCTTCCAGGTGTTCATAGTTCTTACAACTGATTTTTTTAAATGCACTGTGCCCTGCATACCACAGACTTGGATAAAAATGGCACCATCCAAGAGCAACAGCAAGAAGTTCTGAATACACTCTGTCTTTCCCTCTGCCTTTAAGGAGGTGGGAATGCAATGCCCTGTCTCTTCACAGCTAAGACTGGGATGAGGAGAGAAAGAAAAACTCTGATGAGATAAACCAGAACACTTTATTTCCAGCTGCTTTTATTTGTATGTAAATTCCCTCCCTTTTATTACCCTATTTGTTCTTTTTATTTTGTTGTTTGTTACCTTAAGTAACAGTCATAACCTCTTTTGGAGTTGGTTACGTGCCAAACCGCCTTTTATAGACTGGCTTCACATTCAGGACCAGCTAGCAGTATTGTTTCTTATGACTGTTTAATAAGTCATGTGGCACATTATATGTGTTCAACCTTCTGCTGTATATAACTACCATACATCTGCCTCTTAGTGAAGAAAAAATGCTGAGCCAACAACAGGAAAACAGTTATCAGCCAATAAAGATGGGCTTAACACCTGCACTTGGACCGATTTCAGAGGCCCCTCAGGCCTGTTTGAGTAAAAACTCCCATGAAAATGAGAACCCTGAAAGACCGTCAATAACCCAAGTGTTTGTTAGGGTACCATAACGAGACAAGATAAAGAAGCTTTAATATCAACCTGTAGAGAAAACAGGACGTTGCCACAGAAGTGAGCCAAGCCTTCTGCACACTGGAGCATGTGCAGTGTCCTTATGGGAGAAGGCTCAGTGCATGGAATGCATGTTGAACATTCCCAAGTTCTGCCACTGACCAACTGGACTTATTTTTCACAGGCATTCCATGTGAACGAAGAGGAAATAGCACATTCAGACAGAGAAAGCACAGAACTCAGAGTAATGCACTAAACTAAGCTTTCTTTCAGCAAAGATACCAAGACTTCGGTGCATAGAAATGCAGCCATAAGAGAAAAACAAGTAGTACGGATCAAACCAGCCTCTTCGTGATTCTTACAGGTCTACTGCAGTCTGAGCAGTCACTTTCTGGGTTTGGTTTAGGGGTTTTTTTAATGAGAACTAGAGGGAGAGTTCTCATTAAAAAGAAAGACCTCACAAAAGTGAAAGGAAGGAGCTGAGCTCTGGACTGTTTGGTTTCATACCACAATGAGTATGCCTGTCATTTGCCCAAAGCAGATGGCAGTTATTCCCAATTACGTTGCAGCAGCGTGCTGATGTTCACTGCTGCAGTGACATAAAAAACCCCAAAACCAACTCCAGTGACCCATGCGGTCTCACCAAGCCATGTTGGGTGCTATCCAGCCATACCTCCCTACTAGACACCCATTCTAAAGCTGCTGCTCCCTCCGCTTCCCGTGGGGCCTGCACTGAGACAGTTTTTCTTCAGCTTCTCTAGAACAGAACAACATTACTGGGAATCCCTCAGTGGTAACTGTGTTTATAGTTGATTGCACTGCAATTCTAGTAACTACAGTGGAAATAAAAATAAACATTGGGCGGAAAAGAACCCATAAATCTAGACTTGAAACATTACTTTATACTACAGCAATTCAGCTATATGTAAAATACATGCATTGTAATATGCTTTTACTTTTGTTTTGTAACATGGAGTAAACCTATGTGGTAACTTTTACAGAAAAAGGGAAATGGGTTTAAATCTCTGGCTAAACCTACTAAAATGGTAGAGTAGAAATGATGACCCATAAAAGCAGCGCCCATTATTGTGCACTTTCTGAGACCGAAGGTTTCAGAACAGATTTTGTTTGAAATGCCTCTTCTCTTGGAAGAGGGAGAAAACCAGAGCAGAACCAAAGGACATAGCCAACTTTTTCTGGACATGCTCACACTTAGTCGTGAGCTGCCTCACCACCACTCTCCTTTACAGATACACAGGAGTTACACAGGTACAGCAGCAGTGCCTTGCGCTGCAAAAGACAATCTTTGTGATCTAAGTGAAAAATAAACCTCATCTTCACGTTCTGGAAAATTACAGAGTCTCATTCCATCTTCAGTCACTTCAAATGAGCAAAATCTGCCTTTGCAGTAGGTGTTTTTAAAAAAATGTTTTAAAGAGGGAAAGCCAGCACTGAAGGACAGAAAAGAACACTGTTCTGGAAGTCAAACACCTCCTCACCTGAGTCCAGTCAGAGATGAAGATGACCAGAAAGATCCAGTCAGCTGCCGCCTCCTCCTGCTGCTGTAGATCTGCTCAAAGTGTACTTTGATGAGTTTTTCTTGACGAGTAACAGAAGTATACTTACTAGCTGACAATTAAAAAGAAAAACTCAAGCAAGCCCAAGCCTTCCTCCTACTGTACTTCTTCAAATATTTATGGACAACATACATACACACTTTCCTCAGCTATCATTCAGCCCAACTGTTCATACCAGGATATCCCCTACAGTGGTTTCTCAAGGCTGTAAGAATTCCACTGTGTGTCTCCTCACCACACCTGCATGTGGGGCAAGCAACACCAGCAACAAGGAGCTGTGCTGACAACATGAGCACAACATGCAGAAAAGAACACTTTTCACATCCCTGGGGGGAAGATACAAGGGTTTGGCTTGTATCCCTAGGTAATACTACAGGAGATGGGCTACTCAGTCTTCAGAAGAGATACAGGTTTGAGGAGTTTATTCATTTGTTTCTTTACATATTTATTTTTATAAAGCTAGAGCTATTCAGGAGCATGGAGTACGAAGACTGTACCTGTTCATACCAGCTAGAACTCAAACAAGAGAATTCAAGATTGCCCTCACCTGCCTGGTCCTTCCAGATTTGTTAACATCCACTGGGAGTGACTGTACAGAATAGGGCTTACCATTGTTCTCTTTTGCTATGGAAGAGACAGTTATTTTTGGTTTAATCTTTTTGAAAAACCAAAATTCATTCCACCAACATCAGGCCTTAATTATACTACCTTCTGTGCCTTTACTAATAAGAAGTTAATCAGTCAACACCCATCACTGAGCTGTTTTATACATATTGATCAAGAGGCAGTTGCAAAAGTGGTAACTAAGTAGCTGTCACATGCCATTCTATACTAGGTAGCACTGAATACTCAGCTGGAGTATTCCCTACAGAGAAAGGGAAACCTTGAGATTTCAAGGTCATACATCAATAGAATGCTCCACAATACTGTTTACACCCTAAATTATTTCATTTCTGTGTATATATATATCTCTACACCACTGAATACATATATGTATATAAATTTTTATAGAAAACATAAGCATGCGTGTACACACATACTGCTGTGGGGAAAAAAATCACATTAAAGCGTACTTCATGTGTTAAAGACATGGAATCACAGAATGGTTTGGGTTGGAAGGGACCTTAAAGCTCATCCAGTCCCAACCCCCTGCCACGGGCAGGGACACCTTCCGCTAGAGCAGGTTGAAAAATGGGGCAGCCACAGCTTCTCTGGGCACCCTGTGCCAGCGCCTCAGCACCCTCACAGGGAAGAATTTCTACCGTGTATCTAACCTAAACTTGACCTCTTCCAGTTTAAAGCCATTACCTCTTGTCCTACGTGTCCTATCACTGCGCAACCCAGAATCCCTTCATCACTACCATTTAACTCACTCTGACAAAAAAGCAGAACATAATGTCATCATATTTTATCGTTTGTTAAAATAAATGTTAAAGGTTTACCACAGGGTTAAGTCAGAATAACTTCTCAAAACCAGAATACAAACCAGTTGTGCTAATACAGAGGCTCAGGAGGCAATCATTAAGGCTTCTGAATAAAAGCAGTATGTTCTCTACTGATTTGCTGTAGTATGTCTTAAATTCCCCCCTACACACCTTGCTTTTATCATGAAAATACTTAAAAGTGCAGAACATGAAGCTCAGGATGTCATTCATAGCTACATTCTGAAACAGCAAAGCAATGTATATTTGCTTACTGACTAACATTAGCTTCGCGTTGTCAGGTGGAATTGACTGTTTTACCTGAATTCAGTCTTGTTACGCATAGACTCAGAAGGGGATCTTTGTCATAAACCAGGTGAAAACTGCTTGTAGCACCACAGAAATGTACTTCTCATCATAATATATTATTTCCAGTGAAGCAGGCTCATTTGAAGTGCATTTATGATAGGACAGGATTATCCAATTAAAAGAATATCTGTATTTCCATCTTATGATATGAAAACACCAAATATATATTACTTACAAAAGGGCAGAGGTAAATGCAGTTTCTCGGCAGCTTTTAAAAGGAAGAATGGTCCTAAGGAAACGCTGAACCACAGTTCAGGCGACGACCGCTCATATCTAAAAGAAAGTATTCAGAGGTTAAGCCCATCCTTTAAACTCTGCTGACATCTTTGGTCAGTGGTTCTCCGTGTGGGTGGTACAGATTTTTTATGAACAACGGAACACAAGACTTTTAGAATACTGATGCTCTCTTACTACTAGAAAGCTCTACAAAACCTACCTCTTCTGGCAGCTAAACTTGGGT